AGTCGAAGTGAGCGTCACTGGTCTTGGAAAGCTTTCCAATCGCATTGCGGATCCTGGTAGCAAGAACCCTACTATCGATCGTGTCCTCCAAAAGCCATCGAGCATTCCAACTTACAACCTTGATCGGACTTGGGGCGGTGTTGGGTTAACAAAGGTCAGACCTGATCACTACATCAACGTCCGAGAATTGGGATCCCAAAGTCCGGATGCAGAAACAATCGTTTTCATTCACGGCCTTGGTGCCAACCTGGAGTACTACGCACCACTGATCCAAGCCGCTGGGCTCGACAAGGACTACCGTATCATTCTCTACGATCTCGAGGGACACGGCGCAACGCCCACCCGAGCCTCCTCAACTGCTACCTTGCAGACCTTCGCAAGAGACCTTGACCTGCTTTTCGCTGCCAAATCGATCAGATCTGCTACTCTTGTTGGCTGGTCCCTCGGTGGGCTGATTGCGATGTTCTTTGCAGAAAAGCACCCGTCTCGTGTCACGACGTTGGTCCTGCTGGGGCCAGGACCGACCCCTTTCCCAGAACCTGCCGTTGAAGTATTCACCAAGCGTGCTGCCCTCGTTCGCGAAAAAGGCATGGAAGCGTCGGGTGTGGCCAACGCTGTGGCCACGGCTGCCACCTCCAGCGTGACTAAATCGCGGCCCTTGGCCCTTTCCGCGGTGCGCCAATCCCTGTTGTCTACTCATCCGGAGGGCTATGCCAAGGGATGCATCGCGCTTGCGAGGTCGCGGGGTACAGTGATCACAGTGGAGAATCTGAGAATGCCGACTTTGATTGTCGCCGGAGAGGAAGATGCCATATCGCCAGTGAAGCTAGCCCAGGGTTACCGAAGCAAGATACCCAATTCGCAGGTAGAATTGCTGAAGGACGTGGGTCATTGGCATGTATTTGAGGACCTGGAGGGAACGGCACAGGCCATCAAGAGGTTCTTGGGGCGATTGTAACTTGTCTGCCCACAGATGGGAAAGGGCTTGCTTAATGATTCCGTGTATAATCTTTGGTTTTGGTTCTTTTTGTCTTTTATCCCAATGCTGTTATGGTTTACTTTTTACCTTCTCCAAAATCGACACCAATGATGTATAGTTCTCATAAGCTCCATTCAAGTAGCACCTCGTGCACATGATTCTGTACAGCCCTGAGTCACGCTGCAAAGTGACGTACAAGCCACCCCCTACAGGGGTCCCATTACTCGAAACGAGAAAGCGTTCATGCAGGTTCCATCGCCCCGAGGCTACCGAGCAAACGGGCGGTCTGGACTTTCCCCTCGTATTGCTTTAATAGCGAGCGTCGTCATTCCGGCCTAGTTTGAATGCTAATGATCCTTCGGCTCTGACAACAGCCTCCAGTTTGACCATATATCCGGGGCAGAGAAGGAGGGGAAAACAAAGAAATAAACTAGTCTTCCCCGCATTGATCCTTGTTATAACCTGTGGGTCCGCCCGTACTTTTTATACGTCTGACCCGACCAACCCTATCCCTTTCTTTCGTGGTTACGCATATTGTCGCCTTGCACGCTCTATGGCTTAGTCCCACAGTCCATATATGAGAAGAAAAGGTAGACTCGGTGATTTCAAGAGCAGTAGATCATATACAATGGACACCAACCCTCCCCCAGAGCAACCCCCACAAACCCGACGCCGCCGCACCCGACTCGCCTGCGAGGCGTGCAAGATCCGGAAACGCAAATGCGATGGCCAAACACCATGCGAATCCTGCAGTCGATATGATTACCGCTGCTGCTATGAGCCGCCTCCTCGCAAAAGGCGACTCACGACCGTAGCCGCCGGGCAAACATTCTCGCCACCAGTTACACTGCCATCACCCGGTCCAGCACCCCCTTCTACCGCTCCGGAACCCAGTAGCCGTTGGCCAACGGAGGAGAAATCAATGGAAGCCAACTCCGGTGTCCTCTTTCCACAGTTACTGGGCCTTAAACTGAGCCCCGACCATGCGCCTTCAATGCAGCACGGCTCGGGGTGGAACTTAGGTGTCCGCCGGAGTCCGCATCGTTCGGAAAAGAGCATTACCTGGATTTTGTCGCAGGCTGCGTGGCAGAATCTGTTTGCTGTTTACGTTGAGAAGATCCATCCCGTGTATGGGTTCTTGGATGTGGAGGTGGTGGCTGGGCAGGCAGGGAGGAGATGGGAGGATCCCTGTGCGTCAAACGAGTATGATGCCGTTCTATGTGGGGTGGGAGCGTTGGGATCACTGTTCTCGTCGCGGTCGAAAGCAAGTGAACAGGAACGACATCTGATTGACTGCGCCAAAGATATTCTCGAGACGACGAGTACGCTGGTTGTCAGCCCGGGCGTTCACGATGTCGAGGGCTGGTTGCTACGCACCATGTATCTGCGATGCCATTCCACGCCGCATGCTGCGTGGATAGCGTCGTGCACCACAATGCATATTGTCGAGGCGGCTGGATTACATCGTGAGTCCACTCGCGGCTCACTGGTTTATCCGGAGATTAACAACGGCGGCCAGCCGGAAAATGTGGAATGTAGGCGACGGCTGTTCTGGATTGCCAAGTTGCTCAATACATGGATTTCTTTCGAGTATGGTCGATCGCAGGTCGTCATCCGAGGGGCTCAATGCCCGCCTCCTACGCCAAAAGCCGGGGATCCCACAAGTGACCTCCTCTCGTTGTTCCAGCTATCAGAAAAGTTAGACCCCGACCAGACGGTCGACGTGTCGGAGTTGGAGGAGTCGCTTGTCCGGCTGGAAGGCTTTGAATTTGAGTCCGACGCTGTCATTCTCTCTCAGAGTGTGCTTTCCTTTACTATCTATCGCCGTCTGCAAATACTGAACTCACCCGCCAATATGACATCCGTCGTCGATCGGGTCATTCGATTAGGCTGCCGAGGCCTCGCCGCGTCGTCACGATCCATCGATGCCAGTTGTCCTTGGTGGCACGTCAGTAACGTTCCATTTCAGTTCACCTGTATTCTCCTCGCGATGGATACGCGAAAATCACTCGTCCACGTCAAGGACTCCCTCTCTACGTTGAAAAAAGCAGCCGACCACTTCGCGACACAGAAGGCGCGAAAAGCATACAAAAACATCGACTTCCTGGTCCGACTATCTCAAAAGCGTAAAGAACAGGACGCAGCTTTGCTGAACGAATCTGTAGGCTCGAATCAAGGTCGGCCAGATGGTTCTATGCCCCACGAGCAGTTGAATGGGTCTGCATCACCACTGGGGGGTACCGGTACGGAGGATACCTGGTCTGCGGACACGCTGCTTAATCCGATGGATCCGACTTCATTGAATTATAGCTATGACTGGGATATCTTTGTGCGTGATGCGTTGGATTTCTCGACTACGTTTCCGAGATTGGCGGAGCAGGAATATTGATTCTTTTTCCTGTTAATAGGCTGTGTTTACTGAATGTAATAACGACTTCTACTGCAGAAACAGTTTGTGAGATAAAATGATTGATTATATTATTATAATGCATACGCTATTCAACCCATTCTGGTTTAGAATACGGATTACTGACTCCCTCCGTCCACCCAACTCTTAGTTTCTCTAGTGATTTGTTTGCGAACACTTTGCGCCGTTCTCCATGAATAGCATGGTACTGCCCTGTTTGCAGCTTTAGTACTTACTCTTACTATATAGATAGCATTTTAAACATGCCCGACAGCTAACGAAGGGAAACATACATGAACAGTCAAATCCAGCGAACCGTCTCAACACAGCCTCGCCGCCGGGATGTCTTGATAGAAAGGATGTGCAGTCGTAGACAATGTCATCAATCACCAGCCCTGCTCATGTTAGTTCCATTGTACTTCCGCTTCAAAGGGCAATCGATGTAGGTGTAGTTAACGTACAAATCTCGGGGTTATCCACTCCATTCCGCTGCGAGACTTGGTCCGGGGAGATGTAGGGGAGGACTGTTTTGTTCTTTTTGTTTTCGTTCACACCGTACATGATTGGAAATGTCGTGAATTGAACCGAATATCTTGATATTTCAATGTAGATGATAGAGACGCCAGAAGTATAGGAAATGACTTATATAGGATAAGCTGTCACAAAACATGACGTCTCAACCACTACCACTCCCGCCCATGGTTCGAGTCCGGGGTAGAAACAAAAGGCAGGATCTTTCCCGGTCCCAGGACCCAGGAATCTGGGGCATATCCCTGTCTAGCTTGCTCATTAGTGGCAATTTGGCGCCTGTGGGGGTTACGTTGGCTTCGCATGGAGCGGGTGGAAAGGCTTCGGTGGGAAGAAAGGAGGGTATTGCGGGTATTGCGGGAGAGACTTGACCAGTCGGGTTTCTCGATATTGCCGTGGTTCTATGGGCATTGTGGACCGTGCATCATCGGTCAGTGCATTCCAAATGTCCCAGGAAGTAGTCTTAGGCAATATATCGGTGAACTCACTGGATCGTGGGGTGCTCGCGTGGTGGCTGAGTTTGGGGTTGGGTGCGTGATCACTCATTCCCAATATCGATCGGAATTTCGGTATTGGCTTGGCACTTGCGAACTGAACTGTAGTATGTCTACCTGAGAGGCTACGCGAGTCAGTAGGGTTTCCTTTTGGTGATCTTGTGACGAGAGTGTGACATTTTGCAGTGGTGCTATGCACAATGACGATAGCCCTTATGCTCAATGACAAAGGGTTGCTCTCATGAGGCCGGGGCCAATGAGAATAAATGATGGCGATGACAGGGCCGTTGCAGGGATATGTCATAACAGGGTGATGGCCGGTGCTCTAGATATATCAGGATAATGACAATGGTATCGATTCTGAACGATATTCAGCATGAGGTTGACGCCGGACAGCTAGGGAGGATTAAGAATACATTTACTTCGATATTGCTGAATATGATTTGCTTGTTACTTCTGCTTATGCTGATTTAGACCTCGATGGCTTGTTTTGCGTTGGTCCGTCCTGCCATCGAACCGCCTGGGATGGGATATCCGGAACGCCTGATGAAAATAAATATATAGGTCCATGTATGTTCCCTTGCCCTTATGAATGATCTGGCTTCTGACACGTCAAGAGTCCTCACTGTCGAACTTCGCACTTTCAAATGCACAACGAGCACTGGCTCATACCGCAAACTCCAAAGGCGAAGTACAAGAACACCTCAGCCGTTTTGGCAGAGTCCAATCCATTTATGAATACATCAGTCTACTCCACAAGATCATCAAAATCCTCCCAATCCTCTCGTCCAACCCAGAAGTCCTGGATGTATCACCCCCAGTCCTCTGGCACACAGACCTCCACCTCCACAACATCTTCGTCGCCCCAGATAACCCAACCACCATCCAAGGCATAATAGACTGGCAGTCGACACGATCTGCACCCTTATTCACCCAAGCGCGGTTCCCGGAATTCCTCAAACCCCCCAAGAACTATATCCCAGGAGCCCGGGTGCCACGCTTACCGGATGATTTCGAGGAACTGTCTCCAGAGCAAAAGGAAGAAGCAAAGAGGGACAACACTTTGGCGTCGCTGTCGAAATACTATGAGCTGGCTTGTCGGGGGTCTAACGAACCAGCGTATAATGGAATGAGCCTTGATCGGAGGCTTTGGGAGCCGTTTACCCCTTGTTCGCTTCCTGACTGTGGAAGTCTGGTTCCGCTGCGGAATGCTTTGATCCGACTTTCGCGAGGTTGGGACACCCTCGCATTGCCCGGTATTTGTCCGTTTGGATTCACTGAACGGGAGTTGGAAAGGCATGCGGAGCAGGAGGAACAATATAATGACATGCTTTATCTGTGGGACACTGTGAAGACTGGGCTCTGTACAGATAATGCCGGATGGGTGCCGAATGATAGATGGGACGCTACGAATGAGGTGAATCGGGATCTATTTAACATGTATATTGAGACTATGAGTGAGGAGATGTCACCGGAAGAGGCGGTAGCAATGTGGCCGTTCCCACCTGTGCCGGTGACTCAATGAAGCTGATGAGGACTCTGCTTGGCGGGCTAGGATAGCTGTTATATCTGGTCTTCATGGCCGATGACCGGTAAAATAATGATCATCTCTCCTCTTCTGATTATATACAACGTTCTACAGAACGGATTGACGGTGGCCGAAGCTATATTTGAACAGCGGAGTGCCACTTGTTGGAATCTATGCCGGGACTATGTAATCACACAACATATAGATGAAGAGAGCAGCTGGTGAGAACAGGTTGGGAGCATTCAAACTGGCACCTCAGCTGGACGCCGCTCGATCAAATGCGACTCTCCCAAAGTACCCTTCAATACCAACACCATGTCATCAATAGTCGACAAGAACTTCAAATATGAACTGACGGCCACACAATACCGCCGGTAACTCTCATCTCGCACCAGCGTCGTATTGAAATCCATAGCACGGCGCTGTGCATTCCATTGTTCGAAACACCGCTTCATCAACGGCGTTGGCAAGCGTTCTGGAAGAGGAAGACCTGATTTCAGCGCCTGCTCGATCACACTTAATACTGCCATGATATCGCCAATGTGATGGTCGTTGAGAAGGCCGACGTTCTGGGCAAACCGTTCCTGGAAGTGCTGTGGGAGACTGGTCGATAGGACGAGCAATCGACCTAAGGCTTGATTCATGTCCTGGCAGAGGACGTGCATGTTTGCTAATGCTGCTTGGTGGAACGGACCGAGTGTCATTTCAAATTTTAGGAGGCCAATTGAGCCTTGGATGGACAGGAGAGTTTCTCCGATCTCGAGGGCGATCTTCTCAGCTACTGCGCCTATGGGGCTGTTGGTTTCTGGCCGACCCCAATGAGATAGCAAGAGAGCATAGTGATCAGAGAGCGTGCCGATAGTATTGGACAATGTCTTGCAAATATGCCGTGTTGCGGAGGGCGGACGGGGAAATATCTGGACGATGAATGCGGCAACGAAGCCTAGCAGCACCGTGACGAGTCGCTTCCAAAATGCTTCGTAGCCGTGTCCCGGTAGACCATACTGCGATGTGTGAGTGTCGTCGTAGCTGAAGCCGACGACCAGAATAAATGTGGCGCCGCCCATCATGGCCGCCATGGTGAGGATTGGAGGCAGGAACAAACGCCACCACATCAAGATCGCGGTCATCACTGCCGTAATTGCAGCCAGGCCGTAGGCATTACCGGGTCCATTGCCAGACCCAATGTACCAGGCGACCATGCCCATCACACCCCCGACGACCGTGCCAATCGTGCGACCGACGAGCGATACGGTGAAATCGCCCATGTACACAAGCAAGGTGGTCTGCGCGGTGATCAGAGCCCAGATACCTTTCTCCCGGTAGTAGAACCCAGCGCTATGTGGAATAGAAGCAGGTATTGCCACCGCGATCGTGACAACCACCATGCGCAGTGCATACATCCCGCCGGGATTCGTGAACCAGTGATAAAAGCCGGTCAGCGCTCTCACCACCAGGCCTCGCCGGATAGGCCTTCCGGAGCCGCGGCTGATCTTTAGACGCCGATACGCCTCTTTGGCTTGCTCTTCAGCATCGTCAGGATTGGTCGCGGGAGCCGCGGCGAGGTCTTCTGTGGGTGCCTTTTGGTGTGGGTTCACCAGCCAGCTGAAAGCGTAGCGCAGACCCGAGGGAATCCAGATGCGGTCCTTGGTGCGCGCTTGCATTAACCGGTGGACCTGGGCCAGGAGTCGTTCTAAAGTCTCTGCGGCGCCGAGGATACGTTCCTCCATTACCATTCCAAGTACCATCCGCGGAGGGCATGCGGTCCCAAGTGTTCGGCCGATTTCAACTGACCATTTTCATCAAATAAATCAGCATGGCTGTCGAGAAGCGCTTCCGTGGTCTGTGTTGCACATGATGCTCGGGTTGACTGCAGCGTCTGCAATACGCGATCCGCTCTCGTCATAAGCTCATTCAGGTGATTTAGCGCTGCGGCTCGACGAAACCATCGGCCAGAATTGGCCGCGTGCAGAGACTGTGCAATGAGTTCACTGGTTTCCGAGCACAATTCAAGCAGTTCCGTGGTTGATTTTCTCAATGCATCCAGTGTGCGGTGTCGAGAAGCCCCGTGCTCGGGACTGTCCAATCCTTGTAGTACATCTGCGCTCTCCTGTAGCTGATACTGTCCGACGTCGTGGGCTCGTTTTTCCTGCACGTCGCTTTTGTCAGATGCCTGTGGAGAGTGTGCTTTGATCTCTTGTAGCTTTCGGTCAGCTCTGAGGAGGTTAATGTGGTAGTCCATCAATGACATAGCGGCCAGAATAGCCTGTCGCAGGGGCTCCTGTAACGTCTTTATATCGTCTGAGCTCCAGCGGCCACGAGAGAAGTCAAGGGGCAGGAAGGCCAACGACGGTTGCATGGCCTTGATTGCTCCGATGGTTTTCGCTTTGGTGGCCGTCAGCTGCTGCAGATCGAGGGTTTCACCTGCAAACTTTTGCCGGGTGCACTTCAGTGGGATTTCTCCTAGGCGGACGAGTTGCTCCATTTGTGTGAGGGCCACAAACGACGTCGATTGCGGAAAGAAGACCAAACAGCAGGCAACCCCCAGGCCAATGCCGATGGCGCCTGGTTTAATGAGGATCTCCGGCAAGGAAGCCTTGAATGATGGCAGACTTGGCCCGAAGAGAAGAAAGAGGTCTGCGATGATGATGCCGAAAATCTGCGCCAAGGCAAACTTCGGATTGGCGACACGGACGCGAGACATGAAATAGACAAAAGCACAGATCATCACGTAGAAGATAACAGTCACGCGGGCATCGAGCATGAAGCCATTGTACACGAGGATTTGGGCCTCTGCGGCTGGACTCGTGCCGGTTTGATTGCCGATCGCGACCGCTTGCTGCTGCAATGCCTGTACCATCGCCTTCGTTTGTGCGTCTGGTCGGGCCGCTAAGGCGGCTTTCATAGTGAGGAGTCCCCAGGCCCACGCGAGGCACATGCCGAAGAGGAGAGACAGCGCTGCCAGCAGGTAGACGAACAGGATTCCTGCTGGAGGGACAATATACAGCAATAAAGCCCCGAAGAAGGTCGCGATGCCGATCTCGTGCAAGGCTGGGCCGATGAATATCAGCAGCGAGGCCACCCAGGCCGCGGCCCAGCAGCGAAAGAGTACCTTCAAGTCGCGCGCATTGAAGTGGTCCAGCCAGGCCGGCAGCTTAAATGGACGACCCCGTTGGCTGCCGCTACCGCTGTCGGCAGCATCGGAGGACTTGGGATCGGGCATTTTTCAGCACGACATGCGGGTTTTAAATCGTGGAAGTCGGAGAAGGACGCGAGGAATGGAGGTCGGAAGTGCGAGAAGTCGGCACCGGAGCCGTGGAAAGCCCCTGGGCCCCTGCGAATTAGGCTCGGAGGTCAAGAAATGCAACCATAAAACCCTGAGCTCGATAGCATCCAATAATATAGCCCAATTTGAGGTCATGACGCCTGGAACGGAGGATCAACCCCCCACTAAACAGATCGAGACCGATTGTCCATTCCGTTCAGGGTCTGCGTGGGTCTCTTCAATCGACCATTAATCGTCTCTTCTCGTTCCAGCCCTAATCCTCCTGCCATGTGCCGAGGTCCATTATCCGCTTTGGGTTGGAGTTAAATTTTCTGTTCCCATAAAATAAGCATTCTGAAGGGGAATCAATAAAAACAATAGTAATAATAAAATAAATAAAAACAAAAACAGAAAAAACTATTCTTACGCTTCCTAGTCCCTACGTGGACGACCACATTGGTGGCTCTTAATGCTGAAGTCCCATACAGCTTCGGCCCTTGTCAGTGAGTGAAAAGGACAGGAACAATGATCCTTTGCACATGAACCGTAGTTTACTAATATTAGTATCCTAGCACTGAAGTGGAGACAACGCCATGATGAAACTTTCTGTGCCTGACAGCTGCTGTATTGGTCAGGCCTGCACGAGATTATCCCCTGGTCGTAGTTCTTATTCACAGACTAGGCTGGTATTTGGCAGTTTCGTCAACATTAGTGATGGCATGGCGATCCATGTTTGATAAACCCCGAGCCTGGCAGAAACGCAAGTTTCGACCTGGTCTTAACGCGGAAATGGCTTTTCTCCACGCCGACATGGAGTCACTGGTTTGACCATCGCTTCATACCCAGGAATGATACAGCCGCAATGTGCTTGAAGATCCTGGAGAGAAATTGCGTAGAATGAACTAGATACGGGGCCTGAAACTGAACCACTACTGTCGATGGGAGACAAGGCACCGTTGCTGGATGCCACGACCACTGCTCTCCTGGCGACTGTTGGACCGGTCATAGGGGACACAGAGGAAGAAAGTATGAGACAGAATTGGCAGGTTTCCGGAGTAGAGAAGAACACATTGCTTGAAACTATTGTTTGTATGGACATAGAACGCGCCTAACAGGATGTGATTAGTAACATCTTTCTCCCAAGGACAGATCATAAGGAGGTACCTCGGAGAGGGCCGTGAGACGAAAAGAATCAGCCACCAGGAGTCTAGATCGTCTTTGTCCCGCCGGGAATCGCTTGGCAAGAGGTTACGTGCAATCGTTCTATTCGCTGGCTGGGTTGCTAATGGATTGCCTGATGCGGTTCTATACATTACATGCATGTCTACACGGCCCAATCGTAGGATGGTACCGGGAGGAAAACTTCTCGGATGCCTTTCCCCCTGATGCTACAAATCTGTACTGACCAACGACCAGACTATCGTCGGACAACACATCTCATTCTAACGCGTGGAGTCTTCCAATTCACTGCCCTTGGGAATGGCACACACGGGATTCGAGCTTCACTGCCAAGTCGGCACCTTCGCAAACCTCTTCCACAATGAAAGGCAAGAGTCCTGCTCGTACCGATAGGCAGGAAGGTAAAGCCGAGGCGACTGACTGGTCGGCGCGCGAAGGATGAATCGGAGTCTTCCCTGCTACGACAACTCTGAGAGGGATTGGCAGCCAAAGCCTCACAGTTTGGGTTTTATCCCCACATGGCATACTTTGCGCCACTCCTGAGCGCGACACGAGAGAGCGTGGAGCCCTTTGTCTGCCTATAGTGTGGATCAGTAATGCCCCGCGGGAAATGGACTGTCGACGAGATGGGCAGCAGTGCGTCAGCAGCAGTCGCCAACACAACATGCTTCACCGTGGCAATCCGCGGAGACTCTACTATGGCCGTCACGATAACTAAGCATCCAAGCCCCCGTCCCGATATGCGAAACGAAATTGCTTCTCACCATGCAGAAGAGGAAGCAATATCTAGGAGCGGAAGACTTCTACAAAGGCAAGAGATCAGCACCCTCTCCGCATATAATGGAAGTGTCTGTTCCCTAACCCGATGCCAGGTCTTAGATTGTTGGATTCCAAGTTGGCCGCGATCCCGATCATCGTCGCTTTCGCACCCATTAAAGTCATTGCGGCCGGAGGATTTTTCGCCGTGGCCCATCTCAAGAACCGACAAACCACCAAGGACCTGGACTACCTGCTGGAACCTGACTGGGCGAATGACAATGACATCAAACAGTCGCTTCGGGAGGCCATCGTGCAGGTCGCGGACGAGCTGGGATACCCGCAAAACTGGGCGAATGACGATGTCGCCCTTTTCGTGACCAAGCAGGCGAGGCACTTACTGATGAACCTGGCCTTGAAACAGAATATTGTACTTTGGTCGGGGAATCAAATTACCGTTCTTTCCGCACCGGTCGAGTGGGCGTTGGAACGGAAATTGCGACGCATTTACGCAGCGGACCGGGGTCGGAAGGCTGAACTAGATCTATCTGATGCGCTGGCGATGCTGAACCTCTTGAAGAACGACAAAGGGGGGAAACTGGACATGGAATATTATCGCACATTGAACATCAACGGCTTCGACGTGGTCCCGGATCGCGAGACGATGCAACGCGTGTCGGCCGCTTACAAGGCAAAATACAATGAGGAAGTCTTCTTCTGATCCTACGGAGATCGATGGCCATGATGGGACCATAGGCGGCACGTGGTGTTGCCTTGGCGTCCCCGTAGCAGTCAGTGCTGGCAAAATCATGGGGAGCTGATACGGTAAGTCGCCCACAGAATCTATATGACCAGTCCTAATATGTGGGAGTAGGTTTGGAGGCGGCTGATTCAGATGGTGTAAAGCCAGCCGACATTCGTGACGATATTTCGGCGACCAAAGACTTTGTTCACTCCATCTGCCTCTAGCACGAGCTTGCTGTCGTCGGAAATATATTCGGGTGGAAACCGATCGAGGTCTTCGGGGGAAAGTGCCGGTACCGAGCTCGTCCAAATTGGACCTGAGAGGGGCGCATACGGAGGGAAAGAATCCTTTCCCGTTTCTCGCATAATATGGTTGCGGTCCCGACGTAGACCTAAACTCAACCGCCAGTTGAATGCAACCACGAGTTCTTCCAACAGACACGCTAGAATGGCATATCGCACCGGATCGGTATCCCGTGGGTCGCGAATACCCTGCAACGACCAGTTCCGCTGATACCAAAAGTATTCCGTTTCGGGACCGAGCGCCTCGTACATACCGGATACCATTGCCTCATACATTCGGTAGAGGGACCGTATGGGGGTGTCTCGCGCGCGCCATAGTGGGATACTCCGGAGGTCGTCCAAGTTTTCTAGCTTATTTTCTTCCAATTCCACATTTCCGAGAATATTAATGGGCGCAACCAGGTCCGGAACAGGAAATTTCCAGCTTGGAAATGGAATCAATAAGCGTATTAGAGCGAGAAGGGGGCTTTCATGGAATCGGCGTAGTCGGACCAGGCTGCCTCGGAGCCGTAAGGGTGTGCTGAGATTCCGAAGTCGCCAGAGCCATTGGTACAGCCTCAAGCGTAAAGACTTCTTGCGGGATGGAGGGGACATCAAACTAGGGGAGGAAGTTTAATTCATGAAGAGAGAGTGTGTGAGTGTGTGCATTTGGCATGAGAAAATGAAGACAAACAAGCGGTCAATTTGGCACCTGATTTCATGACCGGATTAACACTTGTCCCGCTTACTCTGTTATGGAGAATCCGGGGAATATGACGTCATCGGCCAACCTGCTCGGCTTCGATCTTCTCGTTCAACATCTACGAACTTCCCTGTGCCTAGTTCTTTTTCAATGGAGGTTGTGCTTACGACTGGATATTTTCCGATATTTGTGGGCCCTCTATAGCTTTGCAAGCAAGACACGCTGAGGTCCTATATATATTTATTGATACCTACTGCAAGGGGAGAACGAGGGCAATTGCAGCCGCACTGTCAACGAAGGTAAGCCTTGCATTGGGGTCTGTTTGAAGCCGGTCTTGTCCAAAGGTGAGACGTGCTGTAATGAAGGGTAGTGCTTCGCCGGATAACCGTTGGAGTTGGCAACTTGTGGACAGACAATTATACTCCTGATCTCTCCACGTCTCTATTCTTCGCCAAGTCGTTGTCAACAACGTCATCCAAAACTGCCTCTCCTCTCTTCATAGCTTCCAGCCTAGCCAGCTTCAACCTCCTTGTCGCTCTCTCCGTGTCCCTGGTTATCCACCAAGTGACAAGGGTAGTCAAAATACAAGCCGCTATCAACCCCATCGTAACGGCAAATGGCACCGTATAATGCGGCGCATACTTGCTCTGGAATATCTGCGGTCCGATAGCACCCCCGATCTGACCGTAACTATTCACAAAGCCGATCGAGAAGGCAGAGCCAGTCGCGCGGCTCGTGGTTTGTACGCGCCACGGCCACATCAATGGGAACCACGCACTTCCTAATGCATTCGCGATGACGGTCACGGCATAGACGGCGCCGTTGCTGGGGAAGCTGTAGAGGACACCATAACAGGCGAGGATGACAACTAGGAAAGATAGAGGGTAAAGAGGTCGGGGAAGGCGGGAGCTGTCGGCCCAAATACCGAAAACGCCGATGCAGATGACCGTTAGGACGGAGGTAGGAATGTTGAGAAGCTGGGATGTTGCAATGTCCCTAATTTGTTCAGCTTAGCATACCTATAAAAGCTTAGGGGACATACGTGAATCCTAGGTTTGCGATCACAGTCGGTTGGTAGAATCGTAGACCGTGCGTTCCTACGGTAAAGAAGGCCCATATCAGGGTAAAAAGCCACAGCCGGCGGTCTCGCAGTGAATCGAAGATTTCACGGAAATTGAAGTTGACCTCTTCGGCTCGAGGTGCGTTGCGTGGCAATCGGGCCTGGATGAACGCCTTCTCTTTCTCCGTAAGCCATTTGGCTTGAGGAGGGACTGTCACCTCATGGTTAGTCTCACTATTTATCGTCTCCAGCTAAGGGATGATATACATACAATCAGGAAATATGAATATTAATAATATGCCGAACACGACAGTGATAATGCCCTCTGTTAAGAAGAGCCTGAACATCTCTGCGTGAGTAACGAATACCTCACAGACACGACGAAACGCACCATTGCCAACCTGATAATCCATGAGACCCGGACACTGTATCAAACGCGTAGGCTAGTACGCCGCTGATAATTCCAGAGAAGTTTCCAAGGATATCTTGTCCTGTTAGTACTGCAAATGCTTCGGCAGGCCGGCTCCCGCTTACAAAAGTAAAGCAATCTTAGTGACATTTCATCAGGCCGATACCAGTAGCATAATTGGAGAATAACTCCAGGAAACAATCCAGCTTCGAACTGAAGGATAATGTGAGTCATCTACAGGGCCGAATCAAATAACCAGGGGTCCTACCAAGCCAAGGAGAAAGCGCACCGCGTAAAGTCCCTCCTTATTCTTGACTGCTGTATGGCAGGCGAGGGCAATTCCCCAACTAATCTGCTGCTGTCAGTTTCGTATCGTGTAGCAATCCCAATTAAACGCCTACCATGATTCGAGACTGCCACCTGGAGGGAAGGAATCGTTTGAATAACAGATTTGACGGGGTTTCCGCAACAATATATGGAATCTAACGGTGTCAACGATGTCACGAAGACTGCCAATCGATACCTACGTAATAAAGAACCGTAACGAGATTATGTTGATCAGTGGTCATACCAAGTTGGGTCAAGATATTTCTATCTGTGCCCTTGTTCATGATCTTCGCATTCGCGACCTATGTAAAGTAGGTCAGTATTGTCATTGAACAAATGAGTACTCTCGTACATTCTCGGAATCTATATTCTTCAACAGAAACATTATCGCACAAAGTGGCATAATGTGCCAATCGACCCGACGCAATAGCTTTTTCTCTTCCTCGGCAGTTAGGGATGTTCGTGCCCTCATCCACTGGGCATCGAATCCCGAAATAGTATCAGTACCAGCGTTCTCCTCGCTGAGTGCCTGACCACGACTTGCGTAGTGGAGGGTCTTATCTTTCCTGTCGCCATTAATGGAGCTTTGCTCACAAGCGACAGTGTCTTTAGTGTCTCTCATTCTTATCCTTACTCTAGGGAAGCTCGGTGGACAAGGGGGTGTCGGACATATGGGAAACAGGCCAAACCTAGGATTTTATACTTGTTAACTAGGAAGTATGCATACACTCTCTAGCGGCATACGCCTGGCTGAAGGAAACTATTACACTTTACCGCCCATTTTCTACCCCAACAGCGCCTATCAACTGTATGTACAGAAGCAGGATGATCTCCGGTTGACGTGCTTCGAGGATCAGAGCACGTTCATACTACTGCAGCTACATCTGCGGACTTCATCCGAAGCACTACTCCCTAATGCACTAGTCTTCAACATCGGCAATCAAAGTAGGAAGTTCAGCACGGCATTCATTAGCTTCTTCCCCACTTCTATCACATCATCAGTTAGCTTGCATAAGTCGCTCTAGTGATAGCTAGATTTTCCAAGGTCGTGAATGTCCTTGAATTAAATCTGCCGGACCTCAAAGGCTCGGACGTATTTGGATATGCAGTATAATCCCCACATTGTGCCTATGAAAGTCTTTTCATTGAAAGGTACCACATCGTGATATCTCCTACTTTATACTGCATCAGCCACATTCGTCTCAGATTCCTTCTTTGTCACCCCTTTGTAGAACTGCCGCTCCTGATAGACCTTTACATCGTCCTCGGCATATATACGGCCCTGCTTCTCCTCCTTAATTCTTAACCGACGGATTCTACGGACATCCCACTCAACATTCCTTGTCAACCACCACGTCCATAGGTTCGCTAGACAGGCGGCACCAATTACACCGGCACATATGCCGAATGGGGTTTTATATCCGTTGTATGCAAACTTGGACTGAAAAAGTTGCGGTCCAATAACGCCGCCGACTTGACCAACACATGACTGGAAAGCTAACGTGAATGCGGCGCCAGTAGTGCCTTTTAGAGATGATGTTCGCCCTGTGTCAGAGTTAGTACGTCGGGCTATAGAAAAAGGGAGCTAGCGCGGAGTGTAGAAGCAAACTTACATGCCCAGAACGGAATGAAATATACCGAATAAAACATATTGCCCAGCACGCACGAGATATAGATCCCGACACGGGATTCCAAGACCGTTAGCAAAATGAAAAAAACAAGCATCGGCCCCATGATACAAAACATGGTATATGCAGGGCGAGTCAGATATGCCTGTTTCAGGAACCAGCCTGAGAAGATAATCGCCAGAACTGCCGCCGCAGATGGCGGGATATTTAGCAACTGATTGCGTGGAAGCCCGGCAAATCCAAGGCTGGTGGTGATCGTCGGAAGCTCCCATGTTAAGGCGTATCCTGAGAAATTGACGAGAACCTGGGATAGCATGAAGGCATAGGTTCGTGGATCCTTGAGCGATGCGATCACTTCTTCTTTGGAAAAGTCGGAGTCTGCTGTTTTGGGTGCGTTCTCGGATAGTCGTGCTTCGACATAGTCCTGTTCTCGTTCTGAAAGCCACTTCCTGGTCCTGGGAGACTTAGGCCAGTCCGGTAGGACAAAGTAGATGACTCCGGAAAAGAGGATGGTGAATAGACCTTCTAATAAATAAACCCTTGGGGCTAGTTAGTTAAAGACGTGTGCAGTGTGGTTTGATACTAACCATCGCCATGCGCTCATTCCACATAACCCGTTCATATATGATATTCCATATGCTAATAGCGAACCTACAATTCCAGACGTGTTCTGAAAGCCGAACATCCACATGATGGGCTTGCCCATCTCATCGCTGCGGTACCAACCGCATAGCTGCGCCGCTATACCGGGAAACATGCCTGCTTCGCACATCCCTAAGAGAAAGCGCAGCGCCCAAAGAGTTTGTTTGTTCTTTGCTGCCGCATGGCAGGCTAGGACAATACCCCAGGTTAACATGATTCGCGACTGCCATAGGCGCGGCGTGAGCCGCTTCAGTAAAAGATTGCTCGGGACTTCGAAGACAATGTAGCTGATCTGTGACATGTTACTATTCGTCCACACTCCACTACTGATAACTATGGATAGAGCGGAGAACAGCCAAATTGGGGTTTTGTAAAAGGGTGAAAGGTGAACTAACGAAATAAATTGACTGGACCCAATTGTATTCGTCCGATGTCATCTTAAGTTCGTTTAACACATTGCGGTCCTCTCCAACCTGCAACACCTTGACGGAGGCCGCATTGGTATAATCAATCTAAGATGCATTAACATGAGTATTGAAACAGCAACTTTGCGGACATAAGAGAATGACGCTCGGTACGTACAGTTTTGATAATATACATCATGCCAATCAAAAACAAGAACCTCCTGTCAATCTTCCTCCGGATTCGCTTGTCCTCTTCCGGTGTGAAAGATTGGAGTAGGGCTTTTCTTCTCTCATCCTCGGTTCCAAGGTCGGAGCTACTTTCTCCAGCGGCAGACAACACTGTTGAATTCGTGATTTTCTCCATGGCCGCGAGAGCACGGCGAGGACAGTAAGTAGCAGCAAAGAAAATAGGATGCAGAATTCACAAGAAGATAGCAGCTAGCAGCTGAGTCGCTAGAAGAAATACGGCGGTATTCATGCATCATGTCCGAAGGCCAAAACCGGCCTCTGCCAAGGCTTAAACGGATAGGCACAATACCTCATGGCTATCACACAATTACTCTCTTTATCCTTCTCCAACTGAAAGGCCCGCCCTGCCAAGTTTAGATCGAAGTTAATTGAGTGCGGAGAAAGCAATATCAGTTGGCATGTGTCGCTCACGCCTTATCTATGGGGTGATCCGTAAACGGGATGACGTGCGCATATACGTCTTGAAGATGACAGCTAGAGGTATTCGTAAAACGAGAACATCTCCGTTTCGTTCGTTTTTGCAATATGCATACTAGTCTTGGAAGGAATAAAAGGTGTTCGCGCTATTCTGTTTTTTATTTTAACTTGCTATGGAGAGTTATACATTTACTTCATGGTCATAAACTGCCCGTACCTAATTCCCTGCCATCTGGGCAGACCTTCTCCTTCTCCACTCAGGCGACTTGACACGTAGGATGACCATTGCTGACCCGACTAGAATGAAATTTAGTATCGACAGCCCTGTGAAACACCAGCCCCATCCCATCCTCACGGTCAGTGGATGAATGATCGCTGCAGTAACTGCCGCCGCAGGGCTGCGAAGCATGTTTCCCAATGCAAAGGCCTGGGCAGCCTGCTGGCGGATACATTCGGTAAGGAAAGCATTAGTCGTCACGAAAATCCAAGACATTCCAAATCCCACTGCGGTCAGATCCTAGCCGTTAGCTTGATATCTCTCATTTTCCCTTTACAGACCGTGAACCTCGCCAAGGGAGGCAGACATACCCAGAAATGTTGACACCAGCACTGCTGCCGGATGAATTGCCCTATCAACAAACCAGCCAAACATTGCTAGACCAGCGACGCAGAGCAATATGCCTCCAATTTGGTCTCGAAGCCTGGTCTCCGGAGTGACTTGATCTTCTCCGAGGGCCCTGACCATGCGAGCTCGACGCCAGTCGGATACTCGACCGCCAACAATGGAGCCCACAACCATCGCAACACCAATGGCAATATATCCAGCCCCGACCTGGGTTGAGTTCCAGTGATAAACATTCTCCAGCGCTGTCGGAAGCTGGACCGCGATCCCGAAATATGACGAATAGAGAATGGCGGTGTTGACAGAGACAATACCGATGGGAGGGTAAGTAAAGAGACGCCAGTAGCCTTTTAGCGTAGGCTTCGGGGGAGGGGGCCGCGCTCGGGGGAGGGGGCGAGGCAGGAGAAAGGGCTGGGTGGCCATAATACCCAACCTTTATCATTGTACGGCTTTCCGTTGCCTACTCGGGCTCGAAGAGTCTCCGGCTGGAATAGAAGCATGATGAGCCAAAGCACAGCCGCCAGTATTGCTAGGCTTGTATCAGAACTGCAGGAATAAAAAGGCAAGAGAGTCACATACCCAAGAATGCGAAAATCCACCTCCAGCTTGCTTGACCAACGATTGCGCCTCCCAGAATCGGACCCAAAATAGGACCGCACTGAGGGCCCAACATGAAGTATGACATGGCCCGGGCACGTCGCTTGGGTTCCGTGATCTGTCTATACGGTGAGTATAACTAAACCTTTGACAAAAGAAAAAGGGTACTGCATACATCAGCGACTGTACCGGCACCCATCGACACTACCGCCGATGAGCCAAATGCTTGGACGATGCGCAGAAACACCAGAGCACCAAAGTTCGTCGGAAGGACAGCCATCAAAACATTTGCGATGATATATACCACTAGAGATATCAAGTACAACGGTCTTCTACCCTTCCAATCCGCATAGCTCGACCAAAAGAGGGGCTATGTAAACGTTAGACCATCATCGCTGGCAACCTGGGATTATGTCAAAAGACTCACACCGAAACCGAATACCGCCATGAATACGGAAACAGTAGCATTGATAGCTGCAGCGCTTACTTGGAACTCATTTCCTAAAACAGGCAAGGCAGGAAGGTAAATATTCCCTGCCAATGGGCCCAAGAAGCCGGCCACTGTGACAAGCGCGAGAATGAACAATCTCTTGGGGCGAGAGAAGGCCGTATAGGGTGGCGGTTGTGTGACTGCATTTACCGGTGTTTTCTCCGGCGCAGTCCCAAAGTTTGATAGTTTCTCTTCCTTCGCAACTGAGCCTGGCTCGTTCGGTGGGCTGGTGGCAGGGCTTGTCATGTCCAAAATATGCTCGAAAAACCAACGCGAACGCCTTGCACGAACAAAGCAGTTCGTGTCCTAGGTATAAGAAAGTCTTGAAAGTTTCACTTACTAATGAAAGAGAGAAAAATAGGTAATAATAATCCTCATTGAACTAGTTAGTCACCCTAAGCCTCGTATCACCAGTGGAGGTCCATAGTGAAAAGGCAGGGTATAATAACAAGGGCTATTATTCTCCACAATAAATCGTACATATGAAAATGTGCTCAATCCTGCGCACATATGCGCACATACACCTTGTTAGTCAGTATGCCTCTCATAGTTGGCTGGGACTTTGGCTTTCTTTTCTTTCATACGGTTGATCTGATTAGACTAAGGCTTTCTTGACCATTACTTATATCAAACATCTTTCATATTTGTCTGGTCGGTCATCTTGGTCTCGCATTGTATACTCTGTCTATAGATGACACTGTGAACCCTCGCTATTACACACTTTACATGTCACTAATATGACCATGCGTTCCACAGATCCCATTCTGAGAGGAGACCGGGATAAGGATGATATCCGCGCCCATGAACAGAATACTGGTTCTGATGAAGAGTACGCCAGCGAAGCCACCATCAACAGCCAACAAGTGGCCTCCCTCAGTACCAAGAAGGCACTATGGGCATACCTAATTCTGTGCTTTTCTGTGAGGATATTCCAAGATATCTTTGCAGTGCCTCCTTTACTGATGATTGAAACAAGACCGGCCCGACTAGCTCAATGGCTTTCAATTATGTCTCGGCGGCAATCCAGTCTGCAGCGAACACCGTTGGCCATCAGCCGGGATCAGACAAACCCTGCGCTCGCCGAGGGCATATCAAATGCTTAGTGAAGTTCGGCGCAGGAGAAATTGACTATGTCAGCTATGTGTATGCCTTTCATCGTAATCTTTGGGGAAGTGCCACTGAACAAACCAGGCTCTATCTACGCTCAATTGGTCGCGCAATGGAAGGCGTTGTCACTATCATGACTGCTGGCGTAGCAGATTACTCGCGTAAGGGCATCCCCACTATATGTCTCATCAAGGCCTCACGGGGAAGCACTCGCTGACTCACTCATTGCAAACCAGGATATCGAAAAACTATGATGTTGTGCTCAATTCTCTTGTTTGGCGCGCTGGCGCTGCCATTTGCCGGCCTAACAAAGGCCGACTATAGCCACCTCAATGCGCTCGCGACCTTGTATTGCTTGCTCACTACCGTACAAGGCGTATATACCGTTATTGAGGCATCGTACATCCCAATTTTCATGCGCTCGGTGGGTGGTTTGCACTCTGCATCTCCAGCAGCAGATCCGGACACAAAGCGTACATGGAAAAAGGGTTTCACTGTTAGTGTTCTGGCATTGGTTGCAAGCAATGTAGGAGGTATTGTTTCCTTGCTCATTGGTATCATCCTCGTTTACGGGATCGGGTCATATGCGCAAGTGGGCTACTTCAGTTACCTCCTCGCCATTACAATTGCCGGCTGCATTACGAGTAAGTATGGCTCCGCTCCACATATAGATTCGTATCTGAACCGTTTCGTGCAGTTGTCTTCGCGACCATTGGTCAATTCATGCTCCCCTCGGTGCCGGGTCAACAGCGGCCCAAGGGTCAGAATCTTTTGCTCCTGGCCGTGAAAGGGTGGATACGCATGATCGGGTCTGCACGTCAGTATCCTGAAGCATTCAAGTTCTGCATTGGCTGGATCCTGTGGAACACCGGCTACTCCAACTTCCTCGGCTTGACTCAGTCGCTCTTCCTTGAGGTCACCGGCATCGCGAGAGGCTCGGGCGTCTATCAAGTTTGGTCCTTTACCAACGTGATCTTCGCCTGCATGGGTAGCTTAAGCTTTTTGTTTCTCTATCCACATGTCCGGGTCCCGATCAAGAGCTGGGCGTATTTCTTCTTGAGCGTCAACTTCCTGTGCGTTCTGTGGGGATGCATTGGGATCAGCAACCACGTCACGATCGGGTATAAGCACGCCGCCGAGTTCTGGGTGGAACAGGTCCTCTTCATGAGCACCAGTAGCGCGCTGCGATCCTATAACAGGACGGTCTTTGCGTCGCTCATCCCCTGTGGGTCTGAGGCACAGTTCTTTGGTCTCGAGATCACGCTGGATCTTGCCACTGGATGGATTAATCCCCTTGTCCAGGGCGTGATCCAAGATCATACGCATAATCTGCGGTTTCCCATGATCCCTAACGTGTTACTTATTTTCCTTGCGGGCTTGCTGTACATCTGGGTGGACATTCCGAAGGGGATCGAAGATGCGAAGGTGCCATTGAGCGAGGCTAGAGCAGGCAACTAAGGGCATATCAAGGGAATTTGTCCTATGGACATTATGTGAGACAAGTAGTCTATTGTTTTGTAACATTGTATTACGATTGGAATGAAAGAATGTTCTGCTCCGTTCCTGTGCATCTGCGTGGACCCGCGGCAGACGATAAGCCCTAATGAAAGGACGTCCCCTGTTGTTTCTGTAGTGACCTTTCCACCACTTGGCAACGTTGAAAGCTTCCCTCGACTGACTCAACTCCGTGGAGTAATTTGCATCACATCGGACGGCTCAACAGGGCATGAGTCGCACCAAGAAGCGCATCCGCGGAGAACTTGGAAATATCGCGTGGCGCATCTTGTTCCTTAGCGTCACTTGGCAGGCAAAATACATTGTCCAAGTCTGGGGCGAAGGAACACAAGCACCACATCGCGAGATTAAAAAGTAAGCACCAGAGAACTTTTGCGCACATTTCCTTTAACATGTAGTAGCACAGACCATTGTTCGCTTCGCTCTTTCTGTTGCCATTCATGTTTTTCTATAGTCAGAGCAAGCCAGAATACGCGAGAAAAGAGAAGAAAAGAGAAGTTTTTCTTTGCCTAGTTTTGGACATCGGAGATTTCCGGCGATTCTCGTACGTAACATAAGCTATTCTACGAACCATCCTGCAGAAGCCAAACTGCGTTGTTCCTTAAAAAAAAAATAAAATAAAATAAAATAAAATAAAGAAGAGCGAAAGAAACCGGAAAAGAAAAAGCCCACTCGTCTGACTTGTTTCCTAGATGGCAATTCGCCTTTACTTCCGTTCAGTGAAAACTAGACGGAGAGCTCGTGGGTACAACGGACCGGCCTGAAACACTACGAGTCAGCCTGCGTTTCTTTCTTGCTTCCCTCGAGGATGCAGCCAACCTCAAGAATTAAAAACACGACTTACCGGCGTCTTACGATCGGGCCATTCAGGGTCCAGCAGCCATGAGAGTCTGCTGATCAGGACAAACAGCGCCACTCGGGCCTCGAGGAGCGCGAATTTCTCCCCCAAGCAGGCGCGGCTACCACCGTGGAAAGAAACGAATTCCGCACGGGCTCTCCTCTGGCGGTAACACTGCAAAATCTCTGTGCTACTTTGACCCCACCGTTCTGGCCGGAATTTGTCCGCTGTCGGTCCCCAGACTGCAGGGTCACGGTTGGTAGAGTAGCAGTTGTAGCCGACGTATGTGCCCTTGGGTATGTAGATCTGATTTCCCAAGACGAGGTCTTGTGACGTCCTGCGGTTGATGAGTTGTGAGATAGGAGGCAGGAGACGGAGGCTTTCGTAAATGACGGATGTCAAATAGGGAAGCTCGCTGAAAGCAACCTTCGAGGGGTCTTGTGTATTACACGCGTCGACTTCCTGCCTCAGTCGGGATTGTACATTCTATCACATCAGATACGTCCACTATGGATGATTTGACGCGCTTACCGGATGCTTCGCAAGCAGATATAGCATCGAAATCAGGAGCAGTTGCGGGTTCTCTTGTCCGGCGACAAAAAGCACTTTCAGGTTGTCCCGGAATTGCTTCTCCGTGAGTACCCCACTATCTCTCGCAGCAATTAAACGTGTCCCTAGATTGGCAGGTTGGGGCGACCCCTGGCCATGCCGTACAGAGAGCTCTAATGCGGCTGAGAATTGTTCCACCATGTGTCGGGCTCTCACACGGCACGGGATCAGCTTACCGAATCTGTCCAGGACTGGAAAGTTCATGAAGATGGGTTTGAAGATCTCCCTCTTTACAGCTATTTGAAGCTGATGAAGCGATGGTTCGTTTCCTTTGGTAGGTTTCTGTATCTTTGATGTCAGTGGTGAATAAGCTGGACTCATCAAAGAAGGCTACAGACGTGGTTTGCTTGCAAGAGTACTTGCGAAACATTAGCGATGGTAAACTGTTGCAGGAGATCCTGAACAAGCACACCCCGGTTGCCCACGGTATTCTGCAGCATTAAAAGCGAACAGCAAAGCTCTTCTGCATTTGCGGCCACGAGACCTGTGTCAAAGTGCCCCTGAAGACCCGGCGTGATAATGTCTCGATAGAGTCGCCATGTTGTGCCGCGGGAGGAAATCACGTTGTCACCTTTCGGCACAACTGTCAGCAATAGAGCAATTGGGTGAGAGACGGGAATAGACCTAAGAACTCAGCCAGCACGCTGTGTGGAATCTTCTTCTGGTTCCCACTTTTCTGATACAAGTCCTCGTTTTTAAAAATCTCGTTGAGATAACCTGATCGTTGTACAAGCAAATTCCATTGCCCCGCAAAGAATATCTTAATAGCTCCATGGGTTTGGAGAGGTTTCTGAATATGCCTCCTGTAGATTTCCTCTTGATCGATATCGCGAAACAAGGAAAGCAAAGTCACCCAGAAGGGAACAGCAGGGATATTTTGGGGGTACCGAGGCGGTATGATCCTCGCAAGGATACAAATTACCAAAAACAAGATCCCTACCCCGAGGGCCTTCACGATAATGAGACAGAGAGCGTGCATGACCATTCCGCGGGAAGTTAGTGATTCGGATATTGCAAAGAACACGGTGTGCTGGTGTCTTTTAGAGCGCCAAATATTGAAGTGGAATGAACGGGTGACCGCATTGGTCCTAGTAGACCTCGTAAGGACTTGCATCTTGTGGGAGTCATGAATAACAACCTCATGCTAACTGGCTATCAAATGACGAAGCTGCCGAATTCCGCCCAAGTGTAGCGCCAGTGGAATCACAGTGGGCTCTGTCTGACCCTCGTGTAAGTTCTATTCGTATCATGCATCAGGAAGCTAAGGAAATAGCATGGACCCATTATCCCCACTATCTGGACCCTCAAGGGTCCGGTGTCAGATCCATGTTCGCTCTAAATCCTGCCACGGGAATAACAGACTGTGCTGTTCGCTAGCAGCCTTTCAAGTTGCGTAATAATACGAGCACCGGCTAGACAATAGTGGGTGGATCTGGCTCTGGCATGATTCAAGCATCCCCTTCTGGCCGTCGCCGTTAAGAACGCCCTGAGTTAATCGCTTGCTATTGTATGCGATATACCTAGAATTACTTGCATTTTACCTCCCATCTATGAAGAAGACTTCTGCATATTCTGCCGTCAACATGGCGAGAACGAGCATCATACAGAGCGCAACTGCAATGCCTTCAATCCATGGAAGGGCGCTGGGAGTATATGTACGAACTCCTGACGGTGGTCTCATTCGCTGCATGGGACTGCATTCGCAATGGATCCAATGTATCTGGTCAGCGATTCAATCGACAGTCATGGCTACAGAGCCAGGTTTGGGTCATTGCCTTAAGGTTTGCCTACCTGGAAATGATGACGACTTGGAATTACAGGAAGTAGACATCTACGAACGACAAAGAGCGAACATGGACAGCATCGTCGGTTTCATGCTCAAACCTGCTCCACCGGGTTGGACGATAGGCTCAGTGTCCATAGATCAGTTCTTTGCGGAACTGATCTTGGACCGTATCGATGTCACTGCTACCACTCTTCCAGCAGTAACCGAGCCTCCAGTAGACCTAACAGTTGAACGGATCGTGAATTTGTTCGACAAAGAGCTCCGGTATTGTGTGCAGAATGACCAATGGGAAACTCAGGGTCGAAATTACTTTGCAGATAAAGTGCGGTTTTTTGTGTATCATAATTCCACATTGCAATTGTGCCTTCCGGCGTTTCCATGCAAGTCATCGAATCTTGAGAAGGTCATCGGTGTCCTTCCGGATAGGGGAGAGGAAATCGCCTTGCGCCGACTGCACGCATTTGCATATAAGGTCGAACAAATATATCCACCTGGAGCTAAAATATTAATCATCAGCGATGGTCACGTTTTTAGCGACTGCAGTAAGTTGTCAATGATTCATGCCCCTGTGATATCTTACAACTAACGGCCATGGCAGTCGGGGTTGATGATGAGACGGTAGATGAATATGGTGAACATCTCAAAGTACTCAATCGAGCCATCTCTCTAGCTATGAGCGAAGAAACGGAGCGAGTTCAGTTTCAATCTCTTGTTGACCTGTTCAAACTGACATCGTTCTCACCTTTGACTTCCCCGATTGCTGTCGGAATGCTGGATCTCCCCGAGCTGCAACATTACCTCGCCACAAACCTCGACAATACCGCAGAATTATGTCGTCGAATTCTGGTAGCCGGCTGTCAGCCTTCCGAAGAGAGCCTTCGTACACAAATCGAATCCGGAGACAAGTCCACCTTAGCTCTGTATCGTGGGTTCTCACGATTCATGCTCCAGGACCTAGATCGACATCCACTCACACAATCGCAGTCGCGCTCACAACGAAAGAAGCTTGCAGCCAAAGTCTCCTTCGAGATGATCTTGCGAAACCAAGCGTATTCCAATTTGATTGAGCTGATATTCCCGGATTGTCTACGCCTGTCAATTCATGCCCACAATAACTCCGGTCCCAAATTCGGGATCAGACTGTTTGACACTGCGACGGTACGCGCTATTGGCCAACTAGATTCAATCGGTAGTAGTGGTATCAACAGTGACGAAGGCGATGTGACTGCATCGCATCTTCTTCATATACCGACACCGTGGCATAATTGTATCGTACAAGTTGCAGGTGACCCCAAGCTCTACGTGGTCAAAAATGGTGTTGTCAAGGAGGGTTCGTTCATTCCCAAGTACAGTGCAGACTTGGTCACCGGGAATCTTGCGAAGGGCAAAGGGGCTTTTGTGTTGTTGAAAAGACACGTGGATTCAGTCAGCACAACGTAGTGTCTTCCTCACTGGTTGTTGATGTCTGTCACTTTACTCTCCTTTCAGCCTTGTTATGTATGTACTTTTTGGACATCATGGCCTCATCCCCTCATGTATATTGAAGGATTTCCTTACCATATTCAGAACTGCTCAATGTTTGAACGCCTATTGTATATCGAGTTAAGACGAGCTCGCTGCTGATGATATCATAAAGCGTAGTTGCCTTCTATAGAGCCACGCCAATGTGTCTATGGTAGGCTGTCCTCTTGTATGCTGCCTGTCTTTAGCGAGCGAGGAAGATATACAGAGACCTGAGCGTTAAACTTCACCCATACCTACGGAGAGCTAGCCGTTGCAAGCAGTTGGTTAGGCGACTAATTGGCCCTCGTTATTGGTTTCTCCCGTGATAAAATCTCCAATCATTAGTACATTCCTTGGTATTCGCATGCCCACAGTGTGATCAACTCATATGACTTTAGCACTAAGGTTTAGCAAATGAGGTATGAGAAGAAAGCAAACACCCAGCATGCCAAAGCCGAAGTTGATCTGGACCTGAATGGGCGTTTCCCACCCTTTGTCCAGAATCACCAGAGGTAGGCAATCAAGATTAGCTTCAAAGCCTTGATGGATATCTCAAACCTCGAGGTATCATCAGTGGACGAAGGAGTTACCATAGTGACCGATCGGCACATTCAGGATAACATCAGGCACCGTATTTGGATCCCCAAGATTTGAGGCTATTCCGAGATAACGCCACGACCAGGAGTGGTAGTAGCCACCCAGAGCTGGTGGGCCCACCGAAACGTGATAAGGATTGCACAAAGTTTATGAAATAACCATCGTAGATTCTTTTACTATGTCCTTATAGCTTACTTCGGTGGTAGACGTGGGCAGTGAAAGAAAACCACTTGTACGGTCATATCGTCCCGTATACGGCGGGAGAACGGAGACCCAAGAGCGAGACGGCCTGCTATGAGCTCGTGGTGGTTTCCCCCGAGGGAATTGCGCACTAGGTGCACGGCAACGTTATCATCTTGGATTGTCGTTCTTCCCTCCTCAAATTCCCAGTCCACCCCGTTCCCAAGGTCACCGAAATCGACAGATTTATACTCTGCTTTCGGTTGGCTGTTTGGGTGCCCATGGATTTGTGCATCCAGCCATTTACCAACTAGATCTACAGCCTGCTGGTTGGATAGTGTATCCCACATGCCGTCCGTGGCCAGGATGACAAACGAAGGTTTACTCGGGTCAATCTTCGTCGTGGTCACAACAGGCTCGGCAGTTAGGTATGGTGGTGTGCGAACGTCATACCTGGCGTTAGCGGTGATGGGCCCCCAAACCTTTCCTTAAGGTCCTGCTGCAGCTCCAAAGCCCACTTCCACCGACTATCACCAAAAGCTCGTGAGACCATCATCCCTAGTATCCGTCCATCTTTAGCTATGTTCTTTTCGCCCGGGTGCTCCTGGTTAATCCGCGCAACCTCATCTTCGTTGCTGCCAGTCTGATCGACTGACAATGGAATTGCCTCCCACTTGCCATCTGGCAATTGCTGTCCGAGAACCGCTCTGGAATCTCCAGTACACGCCACGTGTAATGAACTGGTGACCGAATCATACAAAGAGAGTAAAGCGCATGAACCAGCGTAGGCAGGAGCCAGTTTCTTCAGCTTGTCCTGTAGCGGCTCGCTACTTTGGACAGTCTGCAAGGCTGTCTTTATAATCGAGTCATCCAGGTCCACAAATGCCTTCGTGATCGCGTGATGAACCACCTCGTCAGGTATGGATCCTTCCTCGGAGGATGCTGACTTAACTTGGCCCAAGCTATGTCGCACAAATGGCAAGAGTTGATCCTTCAGAAGCTCTGCTGTTTGCCAGCCCGCGTGTCCATCGAAGACCGCCCACGCCATCCACTGAGCGCCATCATTCAACGGAGACGGGAAAATACCATGGGTGAAGCGGTCCTCGCACAGGCTATTGGACGCCAGCTGTGTGCCGTCGTATCTATTCACTCCAGCAACACTCTTGACTGGAAATGAATATGCGTCTTTAGATATGATACGCGTCACTTCGTCTTTGGAAGGACCCGGCTCGGCCACTAAGTGCCCGGCTGGTGAAGCTTCCAGACGAGGCACATCGTCGTCGTGAGTGGCTGTCAACCACCAAAAGCCTGGCGCACTAACCAGGCCGGTAATTGCAAAGGACCTCCATGTTTTGTTGATAGCTGGGGACGTGTCCTTCCTTGAGTAGAAGTTCCTGACCTGCGTCTTTGAGAGAGAATTACGGGTCACGCGACCTAGTAGACGCGTGCCACGCACGCGTAGGGGTAGCATAGTTGACTGGGGGAGGGAAAGGCTCAGGTAATAATCTCAGATCGCGTTGCACCACGAGCATCCCTTGTTGAGGTTCTACGAGAATGCTTTTATCAGTCAATCTCCAAGTAAGGGGTTGATCAGTAAGCAAGTGTACAAATGATGCTTTGTTTCATTCGATGCGTTTTCCATCTTCATACATAGTTCACTAGTCCGGATGTGGTTAGCGTGGTACGCTGCCGCCCAGTCACGGTGTGGCCGGAATTGCCTCATTTGGTTGGCTGCCAAATATAGTAACCCGCTCATCAATCCATAACAAATTCATCGGAACAACACAACTTGATAATAGGATAAGCTGTCCGAAAGACTTAGGAAATTGAATAAATTTCATCGAATATGTATTTATCTTTACTAGTGATATAGCTCGCAAGTTCTCATCTTAAGTTCATATCATGAAGGATTCCCTAAACCTGATATATATTTTCAAGCCCTCATGTAATCAAGTGTAGTAGTCCCTTTGATACACGTAGATTTAATCATCACCTAAATGTCAACTAAACGAGAGAGACCGTATATGTGTTGCCAGATCACGTATCTGGACAGAACAGAATGGGATATATATAAACACATACATGAAAAAGTGTTCCTTCGCCAATACATCGAGTCGAAATTTTCTGTCTAGTACAAGACTCAAGAGGCTCGCGGAACCGGTTCACTATATCTTGCAAGTTGTACTGGGCCCAACATATAGTATGCCAATTGCACTGTATAGCATGTTGTTAGGCAATGAGTATATCCTAGGCTTAAGATGAATGGTCATTGTTATGTTTCAGAGTATCGAAAGATTAATTGCTGCGCTGAGCATACATACTCTGCATTAACAGCTGTTTGCCCGTGGAAGAGTAACTGATTTGTTCCCTCTCTTTTCCCCTTTCATTGTACCCTTCTTGGTCCTCATAGACTTGCTTTGTGGGCCTTTTCCTGTGGCAAATATTTTGAATCTATATAGCATGTACATGACCTGTGAAGTGAGTCTGCCATAAAATTAAGGTGTCTTGTTTTTGCTGAAGTCTATCGTAAACTTATCATATAAACGGAGGTCTATACCCAAATTACTGGGATATACTTAATTCATGTACGTCAACTTAATGAAAATGTAGGGCTTATCTCCATCTAAGCTCTTTTCCCCGCACTGCCCCGCAATCAATGGAAAAGCGAATATCCACCAGCAGAGCGAACAGCGCGACCTCTCCGATAACATCCATACCTTCACCAACCTTCCAGCACGCTCAAGACTGATTCGATATTCCCTATTCTACAGTCACACCCCATATCACGCCATGTCCAAGCGAATAATCGTAACTGGCGGCTCCGGCAAAGCAGGCCAATACATCATCGGCCATCTTCTCGCCCAGGGATACTCCATCCTGAACCTAGACTTGAATCCGCTCCCACCACCACTCAATGCAGAAGTCCACACTTTGAAGGTGGACCTCACGGACAATGGCCAAGTCCACGGCGCCCTGCTTTCGCATTTCCGCCTCACCGAACCCTTTCGCGAGCCCCACCAGCAAGTCCCCGACGCCGTCATCCACCTCGCAGGATACGCGCGCAACATGATCGTCCCTGATACAGAGACATACCGGGGCAATGTACTATCATTCTACAACGTGATCGAAGCGGCCTGTCGGGTGGGTGTGAAGAAGATCGTTCTGGCAAGCTCTATAACCGTGTATGGCGTGTCGTTCGCCGAGGGGGATGTTGATTATCCGTCGTTTCCTGTGGATGAGGATGTCGATGCGAACCCAATGGATGTATATGCCTTGTCTAAGGTCTGTGGGGAACGCACGGCGCGGAGCTTTGCGCGGCGGTTTGAAAATGACATCTATGTGATGCGATTGGGAGCGGTGGTCGCACCGGACGAATTTCAGGAAAAGTTCCAAGGATATGTGGAGAGGCCGGAGGAGTATAAGGTACATGGCTGGGCATATACAGATGCAAGGGATATTGGACTTATGTTTGAACGATGCTTGGTGACGGACGGGCTAGGGTTCCAGATTTTCAATGCAGTCAATGATGAGATTACTAATTTCGCCGAGTCGACTACAGCGTTCTTGGAGAAGATGTGTCCGAATACACCGATTACGAGGGAGATGGAAACCAGGGAGGCCCCGGTCACTAATAGAAAGATGAAGCGGATGTTGCGCTTCGAGCAGGCACATCGCTGGCAGGACTTCTATATAACGGCTGACAACCGATAAGGTACAGCGTTAAAGATAGATAGATATAATGTAGAGTAACCCGAAGTGAATATTTACTATCGTGGAGTGCATCTGAGTAGATGGTTGATGAATAACTTTCATACTCTTGTTGGCCATCTTGTGTCTTCTCTTCAGACACGCCAAAGCCTTTGGATTCGGCAGAGGGAAGCCTCGCTCGCTTAAAAAAGCCTGGGGACTATTATTAGGGGCTAAATGAAGCTCAGTGTACTTGATTTCTAAGCAGAAGGAGCTTTCACGATTTAGCGGAAGGATTATGCTTCCGGTTTGATTTATAATAACACTATTGTGTCAGATTCCCGACATCTTTGTCGTATATATAGTATAAACTCCCAAAGACCCAGAGTACATCCTACAGTCATAGTTAACTTAACCAGACATTAACCAAATATGTCTCCTATTCGGGTCGGTTTAATCGGGTTGCACAGTGCTTCGGCAGAGAACTATGAGGGCACCTCGTGGACCGCCAGCGCCCACTTGCCCTTCCTCACCAAGTCCCCCAATTTTGAGATTGTTGCGCTGCTAAATAGCTCCGTGGAGTCTGCACAAACAGCAATCCAGAAATATGGTCTGCCGGACAAAACTAAGGCCTACGGTGATCCGCAAGGTTCGCTCGAAAATCACGTAAAGTGGGAAAATGCTTATGAGAAGATCAGATCTCGCAAACGACCCCAACGTCGACCTCGTAGTCTGCAGTGTTCGTGTTGACCGACACTTTCTGACTGTGCGCCCTAGTCTTATCGCCGGCAAGGCAGTTTACGTTGAATGGCCACTAGACCGTAATCTCGAAGTGGCCCAAGAGATGGCTACTCTAGCGGCCAAGCACAACGCGCGCACCATCGTCGGCATACAGGGCGCCTTTTCACCGATCATTCGCAAGATGCGATCTGTTATCGAGAGTGGCCAGATCGGACGTGTACTCTCTAGTACGATCACCGGATCGTTCGGCAATAACGTCGACGCAGAGAGCAAGAACGTACGGTACTTCCTCGATCGTGAAGTTGGGGGAAATCCAATCACTATTCATGTTGGTCACAGCTTGGAGTTCATTGCTGCCGGTGAGTAGCCTCAAAAACATACTTCGGTTTGACACTAATATGTTTTACAGTCCTCGGGGAATTCAAAACTCTCAAGAGTTTTTCGTCAATCAGCCGACCCACGATCGATATTAAGGACTACAGCGTTGGAGACGCCGGTAAGATCGTCGAAAATGGTGCTCGCAATACTGTCCCGGATCAGGTTCTCGTTTTTGGCACCGTTGAGCCTTCCAATGCCGCGGTGGCTATCAAATACCATGCCGGGAAGGAGTTCCCAGGTCAACCCCGACTGGACTGGCGTATTCAAGGCGAAAAGGGCTGGCTGCGGTTGGCCTCCCCGCATGTGTCTTTGAATGTCGGCGGCCCGGGAATCAAACTGGAGATTGCGAGAAACGACACAAAGGATATAGAGGAACTACTACCAGAGACCGATGAGTGGGACGAGCTACCTGTTTTTGCGCAGAATATTTCCCGTCTCTACGAGGCCTATCGTAAGAATGAGTGGCATCCCACCTTTGACTGGGCGTTGAAGAGGCATGAGGCGATCGATGGGATATGGAAAGAGTTTGACGCAGACAACCATTAGCTTATGGAGGATTCCAGGAATAGTTGATAGCATAATTGGTCAAGGCCTTTGCCATTATAGCCTTAGTAGTATGAGTTCAGTAAAGAGTTTGCAGGGGGTAGCTGTCATGAATTAAGCGTGGTCATATTATCGCGTCAAAGGTGACCTGAAACAGAATTGATATAGAGTCTGGACTGTTGGAGTCAACCCCAAATCCCAATAGTTGCGGGAGAAATACAATTACAAATAGTAGTTCTTCTATTAGCGATTCTCAATTATGACACCGATGAAAATACAGTGGCCTTTTGAAAATTACGGGGATCCACGGGTTGTTTCTTGGAAGGAGTCTGACACCATTGACTCCCGCGATGATGTGACGCGGCTACCCGGAATGCCTGCCAAAATGCAACACCAACAATCCTATCGCGGAATGGCTGCCGATGGCGTGCATGTAGTCTATAATTGGTGCTCTTATTGAGGGGTTATCCCAGGATTCGCGCCCCGCGATGATGAGCGCAATTAAGCTCCAACTTGCGCAACATCACCTCGGCTACGATATTTAAACGCGTAGTTGGAGACACCTTCCCTGCTAATCAGCCTGTAGAGAATCTCATACCAGAATGGCTGCTGTTGAAGTGCCCGTCGTGCCGGATAGGACTATCCCAATACTAAATGGCCATGCACAAAGTCATGCGCCGGTCGGTGTTTCGACAGATATCAAAGGACCCGCCACGTCCACTGTCATAGAGAGAACAGAGGAGGTTTCTCCCCAAGGAAAGCCTGCTTTCGAAATAGAGGAACATCCGATCGATGAAGTTCGAAATATTAAAGTTGGTGTCATCGGTGCTGGCATAGCTGGTATCACTGCTGGGATTCTCTTGCCCGCTAAGGTACCAGGTCTTGACCTCCGGATTTTCGATAAGAATGCGGATGTGGTAGGTATCCCTGAGAAAACCCTTGCATGGCAATATGGGAGAAATCATTGACTGGTATTAGGGAGGTACATGGTACGAAAACACATATCCTGGTGTCCGGTGCGATGTTCCAGCGCATGTATACCAATCCGGATTTGCGCCGAACACGCAGTGGACGGAGGAGTTCGCACAAGGACACGAAATTCGGGATTACTGGCAAGGGCTT